TCGATTACATCCTTAGTACTAACACAATTTATTTCCCATCCTTTGTGCAAGAATAGGTATTTTTGAAAACATCATGTATAGTACACCTATCAAACTACCATGGTCGCCCTAGCAAAAGATGTCCCACGCTCATTGCTACAACATCACATGGCACTTCATCTTTGTAGGTCTTCTCAATCAAAAAACAGCATCATCACTTGCTTGATAACTTTGATCTCCCCTGACTCATTCAACCAATGCAGTTTGTATGGATAAGAATGCTTGATTGTGGCTAAATTTAGGTTCTCCACCAAAGTAGTGGATGCCATATTTGTACAACTCACCCCATCAATAATCACACCACAAAATTTTTTATTGACAGTGGACCTAGTGTGAATGATGTTTTTCCACTGCTCATCACTAACCTTAGCTTGTAAATTCAAGGCTCACCTAATGACAAGTATTCACCTTCATTTGGATGTTCTATGGCATCCTCTTCTAACCCATCTTTTTCTTCTTCTTCAAAATTTGCCTCATCCTCACTTTCAATAGTATTTGTGCTTTTCAAACAATCATAACCCTCTTGTTTGGACATTTAACTACTATATGCCCCAAACTGAGATACTCGAAAAACTTGGTATCTCAAGCTCTCCTTGGAGGTGTAGGCTCAACCACCTTGTCTTTCCCTTTCATTACTTCAACCGGTGGCTTGCTCGAACTTTCTTTCTTTTGCTTCTTAGAGTCGCCTTAGAAATAGCCCATGGAGGTATAGACGTAGATCCATTCCCCTTGCTCCCAATCGACTTTGAAACACTAGATCTGCCTTGTCCCTTTTAAGTTGCCATTCAACTTTTACGACAAGCTTAATCACATTTTCCAAAAATACATAAGGCTACAACTCCACAGTATGCACAATCTCCCTATTCAGCTCTCCTAAGAATCTTGCGATGGTCTGCTCTTGAGGCTCATGCAACTAGCACCTCATCAACATCATCTCAAATTCCTTGACATAATCTTCCGCGCACATAACCTTTGTCAAAGACTTTGAAGCTTGATGTAGAGTTCTTGGGGGTAATATTTTGGAGCAAACCATTTCTGCACTAATCTCTTCATCTCACGTCAACTTTGAACTTTATCCTCTCCATCAGGCCTCCTTTACGTCTTGATGTTCTCCCACTATAGATTAGCATAATTTGTAAACTCAAGGGTAGCAAGTATACACTTTTTCAATTCAGAATAATCATGGCACTCGAACACTTTTTCTACCCTTTGCATCGACTTCAAGTACTCCTTAGCTAAACTAGTACCCTTAAAAGTTGTGATTGTTTTCCTGAGGTTGCTTCCTCCTTTGGCCGTGGTATTCATCCATGCCGCAATCTATACCGACTCATCATCATCTTTGTCGTGATCATGGGTAGCCTCTTTTTGTACTTGAGGCCCTCGTTGTCTTGCGGGTTGTTGCACTTCCAATCTTTCACAAGCTTGAGTCAAACGGGCAAATTGTTCCATCATTTCTTCTTGCCTTCGCTGGATTTCTAGTACTTGTCTTGCCTTCTCTGGAATCCTAGTACTTGTGCTTGCTCCAGAGACATCCCCTTCGATACTCCTCTTTTGGCCATATCTCCAATCAACATCAAATCTATAAATATTCGACTCACAAACCACAAAAACTTACGCTCTGATACTAATATGATGTGCCTCAAACTCAGAAGCTGAGTTGTGGCTAGTATAAGGATTGGTTTAAACAAGAAAAGAAAAAATAAAGAAGATAAACCGAAGCTTAATTAACTGTTAATTTGGCACACCACAATCAATCAAACAATGGGTTGATTGGATACACTCTTAGAAGAGAAAGAAGGAATAGTGATAAGAATCTGGGTAATTTGCCACAAAACAAGGGTGATTTTTTTTTATAAGAATTGAAGAAGAATGCAATGCAATTCTAGTTATTATTCTCAATAATGATTTGTGGCTATTACATTACTAAGACATTTATAACTCTAGAATCTAAGATATATTCTTGATTAATGAAAGAAAAATCTAGGAAAGAAAAAAATCTAAGATACTTAATAAATAAGATCTTTTACCAGATCTGGTGAAAGATAAAAATCTCTAAAACTAAAATAGGAAAGATAACGTACTAAATCTAAAATAGAAAAGATTACAAGTAATTAACCTAATAATCTTCCAAGATTAGTCACAAATCTTCATATTTTCATTCTTCCAGCCGCAAATCTTCAAATCATCTATCTCCTACATGCAACAGCCCATATGTGAGCCTTATTACATGTAAAAGCCATAAGTGAGGCCCATGACAGCATGACCCAATATGTGAAGCTCAAATTCAAGCAATAAACCCAAATAGCATGAAACAGCCCAAATGTGCTCAAACACCTTCACAAGTAATGAAGGTGACCATCCTAGGCTCGCCGCCATACAATAACTGTATATGAGTTGAAATCTATCCAAGTAAAAGATTAAGAGCCGAATGCTTTTTAGCTCTAGAACGAGTTATAAGACCAATAATTGGTGTAATTGAGTGTTGGTTCATGTCTTCATCATTATGAGCTAAATCAGCCTCCACTATATCACCATAATGGATCCCATAAGCTTGGTATTTTGCATTTATATCAAGGATTTGGTTTTTGCTTGTAATTACCTTTATTGATTTAGTTTCCGGTAGTTTTAGGAGTAGGAAATATGGAGCTTTCTCTTAATTAATTTACTATGAATTACTGAAATTTGGATTATTGAGACTTTTAAGTGTTATCTTTTGATAATTGAAAATTTGGTATTAGGAATTGATTACTGAGAATTGAGATTGGAGAATTTCTATTGAAAATTTTACATTATTTCTTGAGTGTTTTATTTGAGATCAGTTGTCTTAATCATTTCTATACTCTAGTAACTCTGCTTTTTTTTTTTTGTATAATTTTTTCTTTCAAGTTATGCAAAACAGATACTTTTATAATCTTTAACTCTAATTATTATATTACTAATCTCACTAACTGGCAGACCTCACCAGCTTTGAGCACAATTTCACCATAATTGATAATGGTGGTCGATTCTATGCCAAGGCATGGCAGACGAGTACCTAAACTCAACAGGCCTCCTGACCAGCTTCGTGCACTCCTTCGAGGGCTCACGATGCAGCTCCTAGAACATGGTCGGATCAAAACCACCAGGGCTGGGGCAAGCACTATGAGGAAGTATGTTGACAAAATGATCACCTTAGCTAAGGGTGGTTCTCTTCACAAAAGTAGGCAGGCTCTTGGCATCATTTATGAGAAACAAATTGTGCATGCTCTATTTGCTGAGTTGCAAGATAGGTACGGTGATAGAAATGGTGGATATACACGAATTATTAGAACACTGCCTAGGGAGGGGACAACGCACCAATGGCCTACGTTGAACTTGTATAGGTACTTTCCATTGTTAAGGCGTATTGCATGATTGTATGCACAGTTGCCTGTTTGATATAAATTAGTGCAGCTGAACAAGCTTTCTCTTATTTGTTCAAGTGTTTACCTTCAATTATGTTTGTACTTTGATGCTAGATGATGTTCTAGCTAAATTTCATACCGGTTTAATATTTATTGAATGAATCCTATTCCAAGTAGAGGCACATAGGTAAATTGCAATGAATGGAGTGCCTTGTCCTTTCTAATTGCTACAACTATACTATAATTTACCTTCCTCCATATCTTTAATGGTATCCTTATCATATTTCACATGTCAGGTTGAAAAGGACCAAATAATCCAAATTCACTTAACTTATTTCTGCCCCCATATGCACTACTGCATATACCTATTTTCAAATGTTCATTTTTTTATCACTCATCCATCCCACCATACCCAAGTGCTTCTAGCTTTAGCAACTTTTTTGGCTTTTTCACATTCTGCAATGTACTTTATGCCTCTTTTTGAAGTTGAATTCATCCTTTAATCTCATCAATAATGTTTAGAACTATTGCCATTAGGTTCTGAACCTGCATGGTTTATCACTCAATAAGATGTAGAAGCTAAGAGGTAGGATGTGTTCATTACTAAGAAACGGGCAATTTGATGGATAAAAGTTTGGGGACATGTTGCTTTTGTGCATTATAGGTGCTTGTGTGCTATCTGAAGAGGAATTGCACCCTTTCCCACGCCAATCTTGTCGCAGTTATGGAGTTTATTGTCTAAAAATAAATTTCGTTGGGAAAAGAATAATGTAAAGGTGGATAGCGAATTGGCAGCGTTTGGTTCTGAGCAGCAGCATTCAGAGTTTGTCAGTTAAGCACAGGTTTTCAGCTGGATTGGTTTTTAGCTGATTTCTACGTACGTTTTTGCTAGTTGGATTTGTTACTTTAGGCATGTATGTATATTGGTCTGCCTGGAATTTCCTTGAGAGGGGTAATTGTGAATCGTAATTGGAGGCGGACTGGATCGCCTAGGTCTGTGTTACGACATGACATGACATACATTACGTAGCAACTGCCGGAATATCGTTTTTATTTTTTTTAATTTTAGTTGAGAAGAGGTTATTCCATAAGGTCTTAAATGAAATTTACGTTGGATTTAGAGATTGTTTATAAAAAAAATTCATAAAAAATTATTGAAAGTAAGAAACAAATTTAAATTTTATAAATAAAATATTTGATTTTTACTAACAAAAAATTTTCAATCTTTACCTATTCAATAAATTTGTATTAAAAAAATCATGTGTAAAATAAAATCGTTAATTTTTTTCAAACCACGTATACACTGGAAAAAGAGTATTTTTTATTAAACATTTCATCTGATTGATAATCTGAAGGTGAAGTTCATTAATTTGGAGACACTATCAATATATGTCACTAGTCAATATAATTTTACTACAAATTTCTGCACCCATGATGTCGTATAATTTTTTTAAATCATAAGAAATACATGACAACGAGATTAATTATTAGAGGATTTAAACTTAAATTTTAATGGAATTAACCAAATCGTTTTAATTCAATTAGTTGATTGGCTACAGAATAAATATCACTCCCTTTTCTAAATTCATGATACCAAATTTACATACCAAACCATTTATTATCATTCTTATAGTTTTTACATAAAAACCATATAATATAGCAATATTACATAAGTGGACCGAGATACCCAAAAGAAAGATTATTACACAAACCAAGAGTAGCAAAATAGCAATACAGAAAATTAGCATTTAAGATGAAAAGCTATGCATTATGTATTAGGATAACCATCTCTCCATCAACTGCAATTTTGTTGGCCCAGACTTCTTAATTTTAAGCTTCTGAATTACCTGGATAGGAAAGAAGATAAACAGAATTAAAAGTCACATTGAAATTGAATCAAGGATTGTAGTAAAAAAAAAAAAAAAACTAAGTCAACCATGCATTTTGGGCAGTTTACAAGCGGATTTATAAGCATACCTTTGAATTAAATGTGTTAAAACTAAAAATAATCTTTCAAATTGATTTCTTTATTTACAATTAAATCGATATTTTGGATATGTATATAGACTCAGTTGTACAATTTTTAAATTCCGTCACCAAAAACAAACTCTTGTTTCCAAGTTAGATTCACATATTATGAAGAAATAGTTTTGATCAATCTCACTTGAATATTCTTTCCATTTGATTAAAAAAGAAAATACTTGTGTGTGTGTCAACGCACTTTTTTGTGAGTATAAATCCTACAAAAAAATTTATAAGGTGATATTATAGAGTACATATTAAGCAGGACTTGGCTTACACTTCTAAATTTAGCATAGAATTAATATTTCAACCCCTTTTTATAAAGATTCTCAATTATTGAATCAAACTAAATAATGATGGAAATTAAATACGAAAACAAATGTAACATGAAACTTACGATTGGACCGAGAGAGAAGAAAAACATTAATAACGGTAGATTTTATGCCTCCATCCATGATCTTCTCGCCTGATTAAGTCCACGGCTCTGATTGTTGGTTGATACTGAATTTCTGATGATCCACATATTTTGTCTATAAGCCCACGCGAAACGTCCTGCAAAAAAACTTGTTTTAGATCAGGTAGACTTTCCCAACCATGCGGCAATGTCATCATCTCTTGGCATCTAACGATTTCTAGCTCTTGAAGACAAGGCATCACTCCTTCGTTCATCGCAATTTCTTTCAATCGGGGACATTCAACAATATGTAACCGCTTAAGCTTTTGGAAACCTTCAAGGAAGTTTAATCTCTCTCCTTCATAAGCTTTTAATAGTAAAATTTCTGCCAGATTAGGCAATGCTTGGATGTGAGGAAGAAAATCATCCCTCAGTCCAGACCAATGTAAGTACAAAGATGTGAGGCTATGGAGCGAATGAAACCAGTGCGGCACCTTCTCTAATTTCCCAGCTAGAACAAGTTTGTCAAGGCAACGAGGGGCTGATTCAAGCGCGTCCATCTTTAATTGCTCATCCTCGTTACATGACTTCACCAATAAGTAGTGAAGACGTCTCATTTTTGAGATGGCGAAGCACAAAATTTTCTCATCAGCTTCCTTCACATTTGCAATGCTAAACCTTCTCAGTTGGGTCATGCTGCTCAGTTGTTTGATAAAGCTTACCCTTGCTTCTACAAAGCTCAAAACTTGTAAGCTCTTTAACCTGCAAATGTTGGATGGTACACTTGCGCCCAAGGCATAGTGGAATTCGAAACCGGTGACGTTGTAACGATAAACAATTAGATGCCGAAGATTTTTCAACTTCACAATTCCTGGCGGAAGCTCTTTAATTTGGGTCCTCTTTAAAAGTAGAGACTGTAAGTTGTAAAGTTCTCCAATGGATTTCGGAAGCTCCTTCACTTGAGTGCTTGTCAAGTTAAGATATCTCAAATTGAATAACTTCACCAATTCACCTGGGAGTTCATTGACTGGGGCATCTTCTAAATCCAACACTCGTAACAATTTAAAACCAAAGGGTAACCTATTGAAGGAAGATTGAGAGACCACATCAATAGCAAAAACAAACAATGAACGAAGCCTGGATAGACCAGCCTTGCCTGATGCTTTCATCTCTTTCTCCCTTGCTTCAATTGACAAACGACGGATTCCATCGCCTTCTACTTCTTCTTTCCCATCAGATTTGGCAACAAACTTTTCCTCTTTCGATATTGACAGTGCAAGCTCTCGCAAAATGTCGTGCATCTTACATGTTTTGGGCCTCCCTGATCCATTCCTCGTTACAACTTGAAGCAAGCCTCGGTAAACCAACTCCTCCAGGTATCCATCTGCTACCACTTCTGGGTCTTCTTCCTGCTGTTCAACAAAGCCTTCAGCCATCCAAAGTCTAATGAGCCTTTTTCGCTTAATCTCATAATCTTCGGGGAATATGCAACAATACAAGAAACAGTGCTTAAGTCTGTAAGGCAAATCATGGTAGCTAAGCAATGAGATATACTTGAGTCTTTTCAGTTTATCGTTTTCGCTTAGCTCCCAATTTAAGTTTTCATAAATTCCACTCCATTCCCTTGTAGACTTCTTGGAAGCCATCAAACCACCCAAAGCCACAATAGCTAATGGCAAGCCTTCACATTTTGCAACCAGTTTTCTTGCCAAAGATTCAAGATATGGTGGGCATCGGCCAAGCCCGCTGGGGAAAGCTTTCTTGCAAAAAAGGGTCCAACCCTTGGCATCTGTTAGGGGTTTAAGTGGAAGGCGGTGTCTTAAAACCCCAAATTCAAACGAAGCTACGTCCTCCTGTCGTGTGGTAAGCAAGATTCGGCTTCCATTCATACTAGTAGGAAGTGCGTTGCTGAAACGCTCCCATACAGCGGTGCACCAAACATCATCCAACACAATTAGATATCTCTTTGTCTCCAAGGACTTCCTCAGTTCCTCCACCAAATCTATATAGGTCATGGCGCTCAGGTTTTCGATCCGTGGACCATTTTCTCTATTTTCCTTCTTCTTCACCTCTTTGATCAAGGAATTGAATAGCTCTTCGATCGTATACTGTTGTGAGACAGTGATCCAGGCACAGCATTCGAAATGTTGCTCGACAATTGGTTTTTTGAAGGTGTTCGCAGCAAGAGTTGTTTTCCCTAAACCGCCCATCCCGACAACTGCAATGACAGTCCTTTGAAGCTCTTTATCCATCAACCATCCCAACAACTTACGTTGTGCCTTTTCGATTCCAACAAGTTCATCATCTTTAAGAAAAAGAGAAGATTCACTCAGATTTTTCACCCAGTTAGTATCATAATTGGCAGCCACTGTTTTTCCTTCTCTTTTCTCGTTACATTTTCCTGATTCTAACCGAGAAACTTGGAATCGTTGGCTTCTCTCTGTGATTCTCTTAATCCTTTTGTCGATGTCTTGTAACTTGACAGCTACTCGATGCCTGACCAGCAGATTCTTGGGAAAATGAATAAGCTTTAACAAAAAACTTGAGCATTTACCCCTCCATTGTTTTTGCTTGTTGAAGTGGTACATAAATTCATCGACGACATCTTCAATTTCGTAGGCAATGTCTCGGACGCTGGCCACCCACTCATTCTCTGTTTTATTGTTGGCTGCTACTCCTTTTTTCTCTTCAGCATCTTCAAGGAAAGATTTCATGGTTTTGAGATCAAGCTTGACATTGTCGATTGCAGCTCTAACCTCCGTCAACAGTGACACTTCATTTTCTAAGATGGATATTGCCTTGCCCGTTACTAGATCGACCGAGCTAGACAAATCCATTGCTATATCATTCAAGGAAAAGTTCCAAGGAGGCTATACCATTTACAAAATAAGCAGCAGGAAGCAGGAAAACAAAGAAAAAGCTAGACTTAAAGGAAAATGGAAGGACAAAAGAAGGAAAGATATTGTTGTAAGAGCTGGTGCTCATTACAATATGCACCCCCTATTTATACAAAAGTTTGACCCCTTATTACACACTGGTTGAGTTAATAATAAACCCTAGGTAACAGTAAACCTTGGTTGAATTTGTCAGCAAATTGCCTCTCATCCATTCCTTTTAAGAAGGAATCTTATCTTGAAGGAATCTTCTTCTGGGATGTCATTGCATTGATTTTGATGGTTACTTTTATTGGACATATCCAAGTTTACGACCTCTTCATCATTTTAATTAAAAATAGTTGAAGAGGTTAGTTTCTGATTCGTTCTATTACTGTTAATTTCATTTAATATTGAAATAGCAACAACGTGAGTAATCAATAACTTTCATTTTAAATAGTTTTTTCAAAAATTCAACCGGTTGGGGTTCGGAGGGTTCCTGATTATGTCTATTATAGTGTCTTATCATAAAAATTCTTTTATCATCTGATGTTGTAGTAATATTAAGGATTCTTGGGTAAAGAACTGAGGTCTACGGGATTTCATTTAATAGTTTTTTTGGCTTTCTCAATTATTGCAATTCTAACTTGAAAATTATACAAACTTAGTCAGTTAAATTATTCAAAAGCAAATTTTAAATTTACTTTATTTTCATTTGTTGGTAATGTTAGAAATTTTTAAAATAAAATATGACAAATAATCTCACATTGAAAATAAAAATAATAAAAAAGTTATTTAGATTAAGATACTTAAAAATTCATTATAGTTGGATTTAAGTGACTAATAGACCATGGGCTTAGTTTCTCAAGCTTGATTAGTCTTGCATTAATTAAATAATTAGTATATATTAATATTTAATTAATGACACTTGGCACTTGACAAGTGTAGTGTAGTAAATAAAATATTATTTTATTTAAAATTTATAAATAAAATTTTATTTAAAGCAGATAAATTTGTTCAAAATGAAACAGTTTCAATTATTCAAAACTAGACAGCTTCTGTCTATTTAAAATAGACAGTTATGTTTGTAGGAGAAAAAGACACTTATCTATTTTTATAAAACTACTATGGTTTTCTGAAAAAAATAGAAAAATAATTCTTGAAACTTTCCCTCTTTCTTCAAACTTTAAATTTTTTTTATAAAAATTTTGCTACAGAAAACCTTTATAGAAGTTTAGTGATATTACGATACATCGGTGAATGTTCGATGGACTAATTTCGTCAATACAAAATGCAGTCAGTCATTGGACTTATTTCTATTCTCAAAGTTTATTGCTTACAACCCTTTTGCACACTTATTAAGTGAATAATATGGTAGGGGCAAATAAAAAATTAAGGAAAGTGGCACAGTTATACGTCTTGGAGCCTTTCTTCAAAATTTTCAATATATTAAAAGTAGTAATTCCAAATTTTCAGTATTTGTACTAATAATCTTAAGGTTTTATACAATTCAACAACGGCTATAAAAGCAAATTCAGGGAATGTGCTTCTAGTTTTGTCAAATTGGATCGTTTTGACAGTGGCAATTTTCAAAGAGGGCAGAAGAAGATACATTTCTTACTTTCAACCTTGAAGGTTGTATATGTTCTAACTACTCCCAGGCCAATAGAAAATGAAATAGAAGAATCTATTACTATAACAAAGGAAAGGCAAAAATGGGATAATGCAAACTATATGTTTAAAGACCATATTTTAAACGATCTGTCTGATAGCTTGTTTGATACGTACCAAAACGAGACTACTATAAAGGAGTTATGGGATAAATTGAAAATCAAGTATATGACCGAGGATGCAACAAGTAAGAAATTTCTCATTAGTTATTTAAATAATTATCATATGGTTGATGGACGTATTGTGGTTGAACAATTGCATGAAATTGAAAAAATGCTTAATTAATTTAAACAATATAATATGAGTATAGATGAAACAATTATTGTGTCTTTTGTAATAGACAAACTTTCTCCATTGTGGAAGGACTTTAAAAAAAGTCTGAAACATAAAAAATAAAAGAAAATCACTTTTAAGGCTTTGGCTAATCATCTTTGAATTGAAGAGGAATACAAAAAGTAAGAATAGAATTTTGATTTTGGTGATGCCAAAGTTCATGTTTTGGAAGAAAGACAGACCACAAAGCCTAATTAAAAAAGATTAAGTTTAAGTAGATTACTAATGGACCTAAATTAAAACAGAATAAAAAAAGACAAAAAGGCTCATGTTACCATTGTGGTAAGCTAAGACATTTCAAGAAAGAATGTCGGTTGCTACAGAAGAAAAATGATTCCTCAAAAGGTGATACTTCTAAACTATTTGTTGCCATGATTTCCAAGATCAACATGCTTCAAAGTGATGGGTGGGTTGATTATGGGGCAACAAAACATGTGTGTAAGGACAAAAGCATGTTCATAACATTCAAACCAAGTGAATATGGCAGTGTTCTCTACATGAGAAATTCTTTTATAGCAACAATCAAAGGCAAATAGACTGTTGACTTTGAATTCACTTATGAAAAAACTCTAACTTTGAATGATGTTTATTATGTATTAGAAGTTAAGAAAAGCTTAATGCCTGAAAGTCTATTGAACAAGTTTGGTTTTAAGCTTGTATTTGAGGTAGATAAATTCATTTTGTCTAAAAGAGAAATTTTTATTAGGAAAGGGTATATGTATGAGAGAATGTTCAAACTCAATATTGTTAATAAGAATAAGAATGTTGTTTCTGCTTATATAGTTGAATCTTCATATTTATGTCATTACAGATTAGGTCATTTAAATTATAGAAAATTGCATGATATGAGTAAGCTTCTATCAATTCCTGAATTTAAACATGACATTAATAAATGTAATACATACATGTTGACTAAGATTACCAAAACTTCTTTTCCTAAGGTTAAAAGAAATACAAAGTTACTTGAGTTAATTCACAGTGATGTTTGTGATATGCATAGCCTTTTACATTATCTGAAAAGAAATATTTTGTCACATTCATAGAAGATTGTACTAGATATTATTATATTTATCTGTTATGTTCCAAAAATAAAGTACTTGATATATAAATCTGAAGTTGAACTTCAGTGTGAATCTTTTATTAAGTGCTTGAGGTCGGATAAGGGTAAAGAATGTTATAGTCCAAGTTACTTTAAATCCACTCGAATAATCCACCAATTTATAGCTCCTTATATACCGCAATAGAATGGTGTAGCTGAAAGGAAGAATAGGGTCTTAATAGAAATGGTAAATGTAATGTTATCATATTCTAGTATTAGACAAGGATTTCGAGGTGAAGCTTTCTTAATAGCTTGTCATATACTAAATAGAACTCCTAACAAAGAAACAAAAATAACCCTATATGAATAATGGAAGAAAAGAAAACCAAATATTTATTATTTAAGGATTTGGGGATGTAGAGCTGTAGTTAAAATTTCAGAACCCAAAAGGAAAATGTTGGGTGAAAAAGGAATAGAAAGCATATTTATAGGATATATACAAAATAGTAAAGCATATTAGTTCATGGTTATTGAACCAAATGATTCAATTTTACTTAATACTATTATTGAATCAAGAGATGCAATTTTTTATGAAAATAGATTTAAATATATTTCAAGACAACTATAACCATTACAAGCAATTCATCCTATAAATGGAAAAGAAATTCCAAATATGTTAGAACAAACTGAAATTAACAATGAATTTTGTCAAGAAATAAGGACAAGCAAAAGGGTTAGAAAGGCAAAAGATTTTGGATTAGATTTCTTTATGTTTCTTATGGAAGGCATTGGTGAAAGCATAAACAATAAAATTTCTTATTATTTTAATGCGGAGTTTGATCTTGTTAGATATGAAAAAGCAATCAAGTCTCAAGATTCTGCTTTTTGGAGAGAAATAATAAATGATGAAATGGACTCAATAATGGGAAATAACACTTGGATTTTGGTTGACCTTCTATCAGGTTCTAATCCAATAGATTGTAAATGGATTTTTAAAAAGAAAATGAAGGTGGATAGTACCATAGATAAATTTAAACCAAGGTTGGTAGCCAAGAGCTTTACACAAAAACAAGGAATAGATTAATTTAAAGTAAGGGACATATATGTCCATTCATAATGAAACAGTTTCAATTATTCAAAAATAGACAGTTTTTATCTATTTAAAATACTCTAGATTTCTTTTATAAAAGTTTTACTACAAAAAACCCTTATAGAAGTTTAGTGATCTTGCAATACGTCGGTGAATGCTCGATGGACTGATTTCGATAGTGAAAAATGTAGTCAATCACTAGGCTTTATTATATCCTTGAAGTTTATTGCTTGCAATCCTTTTGCTCACCTACTAAGTAAATAATATATTTGAGGCAAATAAAACCTTAAGGAAAGTGGCACTATTACACTCCTTGGAGACTTGACTTAAATTTTCAAATTTATCAAAAGCAATAATTTCATATTTCAGTATCTGTACTAATAGGTAATAAATCTAGTTCATAAAGCACCTTTTTTACTTCTCAGATTAGGTATGGCTAAATCTTTCTCTTTGAAAGAGTCTTATTAAACTTGTTAAAGTAAAATGTACATAAGAAAAATATTCAACGTTTTTTACAAAGTAAAAAAAATTTTAAATACCTTATCAAATGAAAGGTTAAATTTTTAAAAGTTATAATACCTACAACCACATTTCGATACTAAGTATATCGTAAATATCATGATCTAATCTAAATTTAATTTTAGGAAATGCTTTTGAAATGCCATTAGTTTTTAAATAAATTGAAAAAAATATTCGTGAAACTTTTCATGAAGTAGATGATCTACTTCATAATGAATTGAATAGTAAATTTTTTATAGAAAACTTCTTTTGTCAAGACCTTATTAACATTTTCATATATTTTTTTCTTTTTAAAATAGAATAGGAAAGTGCTTATTCCTCTTCAAGAAAATTACAAATGTCTAAGAGATTGTTTATCTCTTTGAACGAGTATTCTTTTCCATCAAGTTAAAAAATTTATGGTTCTTTCCAGTCATTTAAAGTCAAATTATTTAAAA